AAAAAAAAGAAAAGAAATGGTACAATTTATTTTGAACGTTTGACCACAGCTGCTATTAAAGCTGCTCCAACAGCGACGACTCCACTGACGATAGCCAAACCAATGACACCCTCTGAAAAGCAGCCATCAGTATACATATATATATGTATGTTATTGTTTACCTGTTGATACTTTGTCGTCAATAAGTTTTTTTAAACTTGCTGCTTGTTCATTTCTAGGTTCAAGCTTTAACAATTGGTCATTGAATCTCCTTGCTTCTGAGTAATTTGAAATTTTATAGTTCCCAATAGCTAAAAAGTATAAGCATTCTCTTCTTCTTTCAGGAGCATCCGTGTAGATTTCTAAATGGGAATTATAAAGTCTTGCTTTTAAAAAATGGCTATTATTTTACCTGTTAGTAACTTGATGCCCAGCTCTATATGATTGGGTTTTGTTGATCTAATGAGTCCCCAAGCATAATTGAACTTGGTTTGAATCGTAGCATATTCTCCTTCTTTAATATATTGTCTACGAAGTACCTAAACATATACATTTATGAATAAAATACAAGTATATATCTATTCATGCCCATTACTTCGAGTTCAGCTGGACTAAGAGCAATGTCAGCGTCTTGTACTGAAGGAGTAGGATTGAATTTCATATGGGTGGTATATATGTGCGTGTTATAAAGACATTTTATTCATTTAGGAAAAATCTAGTTTCACTGTGCGTCTGTTCAGTCTCCGATTCACCGTCATCACTATAATGGCACAACATGTAAACTCTTTTTTACATCTTTTTTTTCTTTTATACTTTTGTTGTCCAATAAACCGTAGTGTTCATATTAATGTCAATAAATGAGCTTGGTGTATACTCTAAATAAAGCCTTTACTTGAAGAACGTAAACAAGCATCACACATATATTCATATGTATCTTTTGATAGTTTGCTCAAGTGAGAAAGAGATCAGAAACAATCCGAACCCTGTCGATCAGAAAACATGATGGAACGAGGGGAAAAAAAGCAATATCCTCAAACGGCCATTTATCTGCATAATACGGTCATTAATGGATCAATAGATCTAAGAATGATTATGTCCCTCCCTCCCTCCCTTTTTCAAGATATCTGCCAGAAATTTCATTTTTGATACCCACAGTCTACAGAATCGTATTGTGATATTGAATGCACTCTGAAAACCATGACTCTTGTTCAAGGTTGCTTTTTTGAAGAAAAAAGGTTTAGAGTCACCAGGATCTCGGAATATGATACCATTTGCTATTTCCTTTTTTGGCCATTACATTCTTTAATTTAAGCAAAACTTTCTTATATTGCTTTGTACAGAATTATTAGACATAGCAAATGCAGCACTTAAAAAACAGTATTTATCTAGCTTTTAGTAGCAAAATCTAAAGGAAAAAAGAAGTTTGATAGCGTAACACAAACGGTGTGTAACCAAGACTAGGAAATAAGTCCAGGAACGCGTGACATAAATAAGACTATATGGAATCTATTGCCCCTCTCGTCTTTTACTATGTAAGAAAAAGAGGCGAGCAACTTCATTAAAATATATATACAAACCACAATTTGAATAAACATAAAAAGAATAAAAAAGATAGACCCATCTTTTGTAAAGAGTCATAAAACACTAAAAACAAACAAAAGTGTGAGCGTAAACCTTATTTTCTTGTAAGAAGTAAAGCCTTATTTATTGAAAAGATATAAAACAGTAACTTCACATAACTAAAAAAAGAGTATAAAAGAGGGAAATTTGTTTTCTCTCTTTCTATTCTCTCCTTATTTTCTTTATACTCTTTTTGGCTCCATTTAGTGGCTCTCTTTGGTCAAGGTAAGGTTTTATAAACATGCTCAGCAAGGGGATGATTGTGTGTTTAAGGATTTCTATGCAATCTCTTTTTCTGATGGTTATGGGACATTTGATTGGAATCTTTACAGGAGGCTAGTAGTTAATTGGGAACTAGTTATCTGAGGTTACAGCTGTGGCAGATTGTTTGACGAGCTTCCTGCTGTCTGGCTGGCGCAGTGGGGCACATAAGCGAGTTGGACAATTGGCAATGGCTCAACTAATGCATACCCCAATGGTACGTCTGCTACTGCGGGCATTTGCAGGCTGTTTGATATTTGATGGCCTGATGGTTTTTGTGGATACCTTGTTCTGATGGTCAATGGCCGACCTGAAGAATGTCGTCACAGCAGCAATTAGAACCTTTAAAAACCTTTTGGCGCCGTTGCTGATCCTTTTTTTTCTTTGCAAAACATTGGCTTTAATAAATAAATATTGTTGGCTTTTGCTATTGTCTTTTTTTGAATATAAACGCATTTCAAAGGATGTTTACAAATGTAATTTACTATTGGCAAAGGTACTTTTTATTTACAAATAACGGCTCATTGTCGTTGATCTAACTTTATTCTGTCTCCCCTCATGATCAAGCTGTCCTCATCTGTCCATAAAGAAAGAAATGTCCTTTCGGTTGTCACCAAGGATTCTAGTAAAGAGAAATGTTACTTAAAGCCTACCTCACATATAGGGGAGATCGAGGCTTCAAGTTAAAAAGATGAATAGTTCTCTTTTTTTTACAAGAGCTCAACTGGATTTCCTTCATATTCTCCTTACTGGAGTTTCACTTTGTTACGAATGGCAGGTACATATCAAAATAGTTCACGATAGCCTCTT